TTAATACATTTAATAAATTAATATTATAATGAATTATATATTTAATAAAGTATTTTCTAATACATTTAATAAATTAATATTATGAATTATATCTAAAAAAGGTTGTTTTAATCAAGTAAGATTTGATGGGTAAGTAAAATCTTCAATATTGATGAAATTTTCTTTGATAGTACGCATTGAAAGAAATCGATACAACTATATTTTTCGCAAAAACAAGAAAAAAGTTAATTATAAAATATATATATATATATTTATATATTTATGAAATAAAAATCACAATTACACCCCAAAAACTAAATACCAAAGTATGACTTCCGGCTTTATCATTTGTTCCAGATGCACGTGCGCCACCAAAAGGTTGTTGACCTACTATAGCACCAGTAGATTTATCATTAATATAGAAATTACCAGATGCGTATCGTAATTTGTTTTCTGCCTTCACAATTACTGAACGATCTTGTGCAAAACTAATTAAAATGTTTATGGAGAAATAAATAAATTAATATTTGATATTTTTTTTTTAATGATGTATTTATTGTAATGAGAATTTTTTTTACATTGCTCCTGTTAATGCATAACCGGATGTTTCATTTGCCAAATCAAGTGTCTTTTCAAATTCATCTGATTTATATCTATAAAAATATTTTAAGAGTTAAAGGATTAGAAAGAATCAGAATAGAGAAATATATAAGAGAAAAAATCTGAAATCTTATCTTGAATACTACTCACACGTAAATTGTAAGCACAGGCCTTTTTTTTCCCAAAAAATAAAAAATTTTATTGTTAACGTATAAACTAATAAAAAGTAATCAATGGTAATAATACTTGACTGAATAAATAAATACCCAAAAATTTCTTCAGCTATAGTTCGACTTTTTGGATTTTTGGTGACTATTACTGTTGGTTGAATGAAATAACCTTTTGAATCATTATAGGTTCCACCTGCTATAATATTACTGTCTGGATCTTGTTTTGCCCATTCAATATAATTTTTAATCTTTTCAAAAGAACCTTTATGGCTAAAGAATAAATAAGGTATTAATATGGTTATTAACTAATCATATATGATCATTACAATTGTCTGCTAAAAAATCAGATTAAACTTACATAACAGCACCCATAAAGTTGGTAAAGTCTATTTATTATTTCCAAAAAGAAAAAAAATGAAATTAATTACTTTCAACTAATTAACAAACAGAATAATAATAAATTACCTTCAACAGGTCCAACTTTAATTTTATTAATTTGTTGCAATAACAATTTACTAAACTGTTCCCATATTGAGTCAGGTACGTAAGCACGAGAGCAAGCTGAACATTTTTGGCCTGAGTATTCAAAAGCAGCACGAATTGTCTGATTGACAGCATTCGACACATCAGCAGACTCATGTACCATATGATAATTCTTCCCACCAGTCTCGCCAACAATTCTTGGATATGATTTATAAATATCAATATTATTACCAATATCTTTCCACAACTGTTTAAATACAGAAGTTGATCCAGTGAAATGTAACGATGCAAATTCAGGTGACTTCAATATTTGTTGAGTGATCTCGACAGCTGGACCAGGAATCCATTGTATCACACCATCTGGAAGTCCTGCTTCTCTGAGTATTTCCAAAACTATCCAATTTGATAGAGTGGCAAAAGGTGAAGGTTTCAAGAGTACAACATTACCCATTAGAGCTGGTGCTCCTGGTAAATTACCACCAATTGCTGTGAAATTGAATGGTGTGATTGCATAAACAAATCCTTCCAGTGGTCGATACTCAACTCTGTTCCCAGTTCCAGATGCATTTCTAGGCGGTTGTTGTTGATATATATCCTGCGCATATTGACAATTAAATTTCCAAAAGTCTACTAGTTCCGCAGAAGCGTCTATTTCTGCTTGCCTAATAATCAATTTCACATTAATAAATTTTTTTTAAATAAACATACTCATCATTACCCTCAAATAATAATAATAATTACCATGTATTTTTACCCTGACCAAGCATTGTGGCAGCCATCAATTTAAACCGATATTTATTAGCAACTAAATCAGCAGCTTTTAAGAATATAGCAGATCTATCGCTAAATGGTAAAGTTTCCCAATTTTTTTTAGCTATCAGTGCTCCCTCGATTGCTTCATTTATGATATTTGGATCAGCTTCAATGTAACATTTGTTATATGAATTTTGTGGAAAATCCTTTAAAAAGAGAACCTAGGAGAGTGAAAACCTTGGATATGGAAGGGTAAGAGGAAGAGGAAGAGGTAAATGAAAAGATTGATTTCAGTAGAGCAATTGTAAAAAAGGTCCTATATACAATTTTGATGAAATACAAAGATTGCTCCAAGAAATAGAACCAAGCTTAAAGGGGTTTTTTGACCAATTCTATTTAGCAGCTTGGCCATTTGAACGTAATGAACAAACAATGGACCATATGAAGAGATTAATGATGGTGTTCATATGTTATCTTCTTGTTTTATTAAATAAAACAAAATTAACTCTTTTAAGTTCGACCTTGCATTCTATTCAGACTCGTAGATACAAGTCTTAGAGCAACCACAACATCAAGAGCAGTAGATTGTAAAAAGAAGCAAGTTACAGATGAACATGAGAAATATGTAGAGAATGCACTTACAAAATATTCAAAAAGTACATTCATGTTGAATGTTGACAATGATCATAGATTCACGTCCTGATACTACCAGTATATCAAGCAAAATCATATCCTTTAATTACTAAAACTTTGTTACTTCTGGGAAACCATCTACAAACATTCTTTGCAATTACGTAAACTATACTAATTTGAATAATTGTAGTGTACTCATGTTATCACAATCATTGTCTACAAAGGTGTCAATCTAAATGTTTGATTTCTTGGACTATCTTCAAGTCAAAATCAAAAAAAAATGTCAACACACTAAAAGAAAGTATGACAAAAAGATTAAACAAAAATGAATTTATCAAAAATAACAAAAATATCAGTTGATGAAGATCCAGGTAATGTTGAATCCGAATAGATGATGTAGCAACAATGGAAATTTTATTAGAACATGCAAAAAAAATTTTTGGGTTGTAAATTTTGTTTTTATTAGAGATTGGCACTGTTTAAAAATTCTTTAACTGGTTAAAACAGTTAAACGGTTAATGGTGCTAATCTCTAGTTTTTATTAAATAAATTTGTTTGATTTTTCATACATCATTCATGTTTTGTCTCAATCGTATATCTTAATATTAAATTGGTTGTGTTTACAATAATTTCGTCGACATTCATTATATTAAGGTTATCTTGATTATATCAAGAGATTATGGTCAATAGGGGAGTTAGGAAGAGAGTTATTCTTCAACCAAATTGAAAACCAACCCTTTAAATACATTTTCGAGTAGTAAAATTTAATTTATTAGACTATTTCAAAGGTTTGTTGCATGGTTGCTTCCAACTTCTTAAATTCGAACCATTTGTTATTGAAACAAATTGTTGGTAAAGTGATTGTTGACAAAATGAATCAAACCAACATTTAATTTTTACGTTATCAAATTCACCATTTTGATTGGTCACATGGGTTAAAATTTTGTGTTACCAGAACAGTCTCTCCTGTTAAATAATAATAATATTTTGTTTTACTTGTTAATTTTTTTTTCCAAATTAAAAAATTTATTAAAAATGCCAATTAAAAGCAATAACAATAGAAGAAATAGAGAAAATACATCTGGAGCAGTTTATGAGTAAGTGTTTATCACTGGTGGTGGTTATTGCCACTAGTCATTACTCTAGTTTCTTTATTAAACTTAAATTTTTTTTTTATTAGAACCGATGATGAATTTAATGATGAATTTAGTGATGATGTATGGGTCCAGAAGTTTGACGAGGTGTCATCTTCTGAGAAAGCTGCTATAATTTTTAAATTGATTAAACGATGTCCATCAGAAACTATGAATTTAATAAAAGAAGTTTTGATTGGAGAGGAGAGGATCAAGAGGATAGTGAAGAGAGTGAAGAGAGTGTAGAGAGTGTAGAGAGTGAGGTGGAGGCAGTAGATGATAGTAGAGGTGATGGTGGTGATGATAAGGAGGAGGATGAGGAGGAGGAGGATGTGGAGGAGGATGAGGTGCTAGAGGTGGTAATGGTAGAAGATAGTGATGGTGGTGAGGAGGGTGAGGGTGAGGAGGGTGAGGAGGATGAAGAAAATGATGGAATTATTGACATAGGGGAGAGGTGGAGGGGGTTTAGATCGCCCTGGGGAATTAGGGAGGAGGAGATTGTGATGGAACATTTAATTAGGAAGAGGATAAACTGTAAGAAGTTGAGGGAGAATGAGGGGCTTATGAGGACGAACCAGGCGATGTGGTTGAAGGCAAGAGAGTTGAGGAGGAAGTTTAGGAGGGTTTTGTTTCCAAATACTTATTAAAAAATTTTTATTACTCTAGTTATCTTATAAAATGAATCCCCTTCATCACATTAAGGTTGCTTGCTAAAACCTCTTGATGACTGCCAAAACTCTAATGAACAATTAGCGTATACTGCATGTTAACTACTATTTGATTTTATTTATATTTGGTAATTTGTGTCTATTATGAAAGTATTGAATTGAATTTCATGATTTCTGGACATACTAAATTTAAATGTGATGGTAATTTTGGCATGATTAAAAAACTCTACAGAAGAACAAGAGTAGATTGTGTGGGTCATGTGGTTGATGTAGTAAAAAGGTCCAGTCCAGCAGGATTAAATAAAGTTCAATGTTATGAAGGTGGAAAAGGTTTTCAATACTTAGATATTAAAGCTATTTTGGGAATTTATTTTAAGAAATTACCAAGTATACAAAAATATCAACATTTTCTTTTTGAAGCAATTAATTTTGGTGTGGTCAAAGCTCAGGAAATTGCTAATGGACCTTTTGCTGAATTCAATTTATTGAAAACCAAGAAAGCAGATATTTTGGAAGAAATTAGAGCTTTATCCATTTTAGTATTAACACCACCACCTTTGGATTACAAAAGGCAAGAATATTTTTGCCCATTTGTGAAAGATATTAATAGTAATAGTAATAATAATAGTAATAGTACATTTGAAAATTGTAATGATCGACATTTTATTTTTGTTTTTTGATCATGAAGAATCTAAGAAAATTTTTAATCGATAAAACTTCATATTTGTGCGTCAAAAATCAAATTATTATTATGCAAATGCATAACTGTTAACGTAGGCCGTTTCCCAATAATGCGTCAGAATTCGAATTCATTTTTAATGTTGAAGTTGATTTTTGGCGTTTAGACCTTTGAGGTATCGATAAGGTGTCGTTGATGCGTGGAGGGTGATTTAATAATAAACAAACTATTAATTAATTAAAGAAGTCGTCTTTGCATAACTGTTTTTTAATTCTAAATATTTTGAGTTTGCAGAGCCCACTTGATCTACAATAGAACAAAAAAGTAGTCGCGATATTTGTTATAAACGTCTTTTAATTTGACAATTTTTAATTATTCACTTTATTTAATGGAGACATAAATTAATTTTGATATTTAGTATGCCCATCTTTTGTTCAACTACCATTTTAACACGTTTTGGCATGCTATTAACCAAGTTAAATAAAATATCAGGTTCAATTACCCCATTCCTCCCTCTTCTATGGCTATTTTCAGCTGCCCTGTTACAATATTACGGGTATCTCGAGCGCATAATTTTTAGTGATTGTGGGTTTGCTGCAGTTGCTCCTTTTTTATCGGAAAATAAAATAAATTAAAATTTATTATTATTATTTAATAAATTATTTTAATACATTTAATAAATTAATATTATAATGAATTATATATTTAATAAAGTATTTTCTAATACATTTAATAAATTAATATTATGAATTATATCTAAAAAAGGTTGTTTTAATCAAGTAAGATTTGATGGGTAAGTAAAATCTTCAATATTGATGAAATTTTCTTTGATAGTACGCATTGAAAGAAATCGATACAACTATATTTTTCGCAAAAACAAGAAAAAAGTTAATTATAAAATATATATATATATATTTATATATTTATGAAATAAAAATCACAATTACACCCCAAAAACTAAATACCAAAGTATGACTTCCGGCTTTATCATTTGTTCCAGATGCACGTGCGCCACCAAAAGGTTGTTGACCTACTATAGCACCAGTAGATTTATCATTAATATAGAAATTACCAGATGCGTATCGTAATTTGTTTTCTGCCTTCACAATTACTGAACGATCTTGTGCAAAACTAATTAAAATGTTTATGGAGAAATAAATAAATTAATATTTGATATTTTTTTTTTAATGATGTATTTATTGTAATGAGAATTTTTTTTACATTGCTCCTGTTAATGCATAACCGGATGTTTCATTTGCCAAATCAAGTGTCTTTTCAAATTCATCTGATTTATATCTATAAAAATATTTTAAGAGTTAAAGGATTAGAAAGAATCAGAATAGAGAAATATATAAGAGAAAAAATCTGAAATCTTATCTTGAATACTACTCACACGTAAATTGTAAGCACAGGCCTTTTTTTTCCCAAAAAATAAAAAATTTTATTGTTAACGTATAAACTAATAAAAAGTAATCAATGGTAATAATACTTGACTGAATAAATAAATACCCAAAAATTTCTTCAGCTATAGTTCGACTTTTTGGATTTTTGGTGACTATTACTGTTGGTTGAATGAAATAACCTTTTGAATCATTATAGGTTCCACCTGCTATAATATTACTGTCTGGATCTTGTTTTGCCCATTCAATATAATTTTTAATCTTTTCAAAAGAACCTTTATGGCTAAAGAATAAATAAGGTATTAATATGGTTATTAACTAATCATATATGATCATTACAATTGTCTGCTAAAAAATCAGATTAAACTTACATAACAGCACCCATAAAGTTGGTAAAGTCTATTTATTATTTCCAAAAAGAAAAAAAATGAAATTAATTACTTTCAACTAATTAACAAACAGAATAATAATAAATTACCTTCAACAGGTCCAACTTTAATTTTATTAATTTGTTGCAATAACAATTTACTAAACTGTTCCCATATTGAGTCAGGTACGTAAGCACGAGAGCAAGCTGAACATTTTTGGCCTGAGTATTCAAAAGCAGCACGAATTGTCTGATTGACAGCATTCGACACATCAGCAGACTCATGTACCATATGATAATTCTTCCCACCAGTCTCGCCAACAATTCTTGGATATGATTTATAAATATCAATATTATTACCAATATCTTTCCACAACTGTTTAAATACAGAAGTTGATCCAGTGAAATGTAACGATGCAAATTCAGGTGACTTCAATATTTGTTGAGTGATCTCGACAGCTGGACCAGGAATCCATTGTATCACACCATCTGGAAGTCCTGCTTCTCTGAGTATTTCCAAAACTATCCAATTTGATAGAGTGGCAAAAGGTGAAGGTTTCAAGAGTACAACATTACCCATTAGAGCTGGTGCTCCTGGTAAATTACCACCAATTGCTGTGAAATTGAATGGTGTGATTGCATAAACAAATCCTTCCAGTGGTCGATACTCAACTCTGTTCCAAGTTCCAGATGCATTTCTAGGCGGTTGTTGTTGATATATATCCTGCGCATATTGACAATTAAATTTCCAAAAGTCTACTAGTTCCGCAGAAGCGTCTATTTCTGCTTGCCTAATAATCAATTTCACATTAATAAATTTTTTTTAAATAAACATACTCATCATTACCCTCAAATAATAATAATAATAATAATAATAATTACCATGTATTTTTACCCTGACCAAGCATTGTGGCAGCCATCAATTTAAACCGATATTTATTAGCAACTAAATCAGCAGCTTTTAAGAATATAGCAGATCTATCGCTAAATGGTAAAGTTTCCCAATTTTTTTTAGCTATCAGTGCTCCCTCGATTGCTTCATTTATGATATTTGGATCAGCTTCATGAGCTTTTGCTAGTACAACTGCATGGTCTGATGGAATTCTTTGTTCTTGTATTTTACCAGTATAATACTATATATATCAATATAAATACGATTATAATGAATGATTTAAAGGCTTTAAATGATTGATATATATGTATAATTGTTAAATACCTTTTTACCATTCACTAAAACAGGAATGTCTATTGGAGCTTGAGCTCTTAATTCTTTTAAAGCATCAAGAAGTTTAATTCGATCATTACTACCAATTTCATAGTTTTTCTATATATTTTTCAATTAATTAACTAAAATAAAATGAATTATTTATTATAAAAGGCAAAAAATAAAACAATAAATTTACCATACCATTGGTTCATTAAGAATTTCTGGTATTTTAAAAGTACCCAATGTAGCAGACATTTTAGGTGGTGAATTTGAAAAAAATCTAACCAAGTTACTACTGCTAACATCATTAAAAGACTTATTTGATCTTAATATTGATTTTGTCGTTGATAAAGATGATTTTGATTTTGCAAAATTTATAACCATAAATTTATACATGATTTTTTATATAATTACAAAAAAAAATAAAAAATAAAAAATCGTGCGAAAAAACAGACATTTATATAGTAATAGTCTTAATTAATATTTATATAAAAATAGTTAAATTTTTAAATTAAAGTTTATTATTTATGAACTCTGATCAGTCAAATGATTTTTACCAGGTTTTTCTCAACAATATGAAAAATTATGTGGGGTAGTAATATTTATTTATATTTATTTGAGTAACTAACACCAATACTAATTAATATTACAGGTTTATTACACTTCTAGCTTTGCATTTTTGCGGAAAGAGATATATTTGGTAGTCGAACCGCTGCTTAAGCCAGAATCTAATATCAGCAAGGTGAAATCTTTTCTGCATGCGTCTAACAATTTTTTGACATTCGAATAAAATCCAGGAACGCTATAATAAAAAAGCTACAGACTAGGGCTACTTCCTCATAGGAACTAATTATGATGGTAGGTAACTCATTGCCATGATTGCGAAATCTTATTATTGATACTATAAACCAAGGTGAAATTTTTTTTTTTGGCATGGATTTCGGTCCAGCCTATTTAGCATTGTTGAAACAATCACGAGTTGAGGAAGGAACTCGATTCTGAGGCAAGTATAAACCAAGCGAACGAGAAAAAAATTCTGTATTCTCATAAAAGAGTTAGAACAATGTAGTAGGGCATTTCATTTCAGGTTAACACTATTATGAATCAGAGATTCGAGAACTCAAATCCCAAGTATCTGTTTTACAGAAGCGACACAGATTAGCTTTAAAGGATGTAGATAAAAAGGAGAGCTACCTACTCAATCGAGAGCAATAGTTGGCTATGCTCGAAGAAGAGGTAACCGAGTTAAAAAAGAAAATTCGGAAACTTACCTCCCGGGACGAATATTAAAGGGTTTGGATAATGGTTACCAAGGATAGTAGGAATATCAAAAGCAGACATATTTAGTGATTATAATAAGTTTAATCTTTTATAGTATGTTGTATGTGATTTTATTGACCTATAAGTTAAGAATAGCTCGATTCATTTTTTGTGTAAATTCTAGTTGATATAAAGCGGGAAGAGAATCCATGATAGTGAATATACATTTGAAAAAAAATACACAAGTTATTACCATTTTGGAAATAATTTACATGATCATCATAAAATTTCTCCTAATTAAGAAATGATTTTTCGATTTTGAAGGACAAAGATTGAAATGTCTCGGGGTCCTATTTACGCACGTGGGAAGATGTTTATTTATGATAGATCATTTTAAAAAATAAGCTCGTCATATGATAAGTTTCTACAAAAAAAATTTTTTTATTGATATACTAAATTTTAAAATTCTATTTCATATTCTACACCCTGATCAAACATTTCCAATGCCCTATAAAAAATAACATACGGAAAAACAGTACATGAACCGTATTGTTTTACGGAATGGGTACGGGAAAAATGCACGGAATCTTCCTGTCAAATGCGCCGAAATGTACGGAATTTGTGCGGGATAGATACGGAGTAGGTGCGGAATTCGTACGAAACACGCACGGAATACACACGGTTTTTACGGAAAACATACGGAATTAGTTAGCACATCACGTAATTCATACGGGAAACGTACGAGAAAAACGAATTCCGTATGTTTTCCGTAAAAACCGTGTGTATTCCGTGCGTGTTTCGTACGCATTCCGCACCTACTCCGTATCTATCCCGCACAAATTCCGTACATTTCGGCGCATTTAACAGGAAGATTCCGTACATTTTTTCCGTACCTATTCCGTAAAACAATACGGTTCATGTACTGTTTTACCGTATGTTATTTTTTATAGGGCATAGGTTGTAAATGAGCAGTTGTAATTGATGGCAAAAAAGTAATTTTGATATTAGTTAAACGAAAATCATTATTTCACTAACTTTCTAGTTGTTCATCTAAACTTGAATCTGTATGGTGAGTGCATTATCATTTAAGGTAAATATATTTTTTTTTCTGCCAAATTGACTATCTAAATTCTTAATCAATCTTCAAAAGTATCATTGTGCATCCATGCCTTTGGAGTAGATTTGTAAATTGTAAGCAACAAAGACATATTTATTACATCTTGGGTTGATGGATTTTCCAATTACAAATAAACTTTTGTGTTACTAGTTGCATTAGTTGTCAATAATTTCCTTTGTTCTTTACTAAATTTTATAATTAGTTTTCATTAAGGATACCGGCTGCAACTTTTGATGATGGTTGCTACCACCTTTGCGTCATATAAAAATGATTGCAACCACTGGTTGCAACCACCTTTACGACCATTTTGTTTCCTTTTTTGGATTGTGACATGGAACACTAGTTTTCATTAAATTAATTTGGAATAAGCAAACCTTTTTTCCCCCAAAATTGAACTAATGGAAAGGAGACATAAACCAGTTTCATCTGCATAAAAAATATTTTCCAAATCATATTTGCTGATAATTTATTCCTCAACAAAGATAAATTTTCTAAAGGCATGCTATTAGCTTTTCTTATACTTTTTAGGTTATTTCTTTATTGAATCCACATAATCATCCATTTGAAAATACTAAACCATTTTTTCAATTCCTAATTTTCACCAAATACTTTTTCCTTTTCTGCAAACACTTTATCTGTAATAAAAAGTCTAGAGGGTAAAAATTCTTTAACTAATCAATTAATCATGTAAATTAAGAGTTAATTGGTTAACTGGTTAATTTAGAAACAGTTAATATTACCTAGGGGTATGGGGGGACAACTCATTGTAACACATATAGATTTGTCAATTTCAAAACTGTCACCCTATATGAAATTCATAGTGTTTATTAGTAAATAAAAATAAAAC